GCATTGTAAATTTTGGTCAATGACATGAGACAAAGTATATGTGAACTGCTGTATGAAAAGTGAATTTACTCTGTAAATCTTCACCCAAATCCTAATAATAAAAAAAAAAGAAGTAGATTGCCCAACCTTCAGTTCACAGCAAACCATTATCATCATTTCATTCAAGGCCCTGCTAGGCTTTTGTTTTATTTTTCCTGTTTGTCTAATCCCTACTTAGATTCACCTCCCTTCCATAGATGCCCCCTCCAAGTGTTTGATACATGTCCTTAAGAGACATGGCTCTTTATATGCTATTTAGTGTTGTTGGGTATAAATGAGTAATTACATAAATACTATTGTGCCACAGATCCCTTTCTGTTTCTAATTTTTATTTAACTCACCATTAAATTGTTAAAGCCTTATCCATGTTGCTGGATTTACAGGGAATTATTGTTTTAACTGCCGCATATAATGTTTTATGGTATGTATCACCACATTTTATTTTTCATTCCTCTTGTGATGAACATCCACCGTAAACAGTGACATAGTAAACATCCCCATACTCGTCCCCTTAGAGACCTAAGGAAGCACTGAAAAGGAATTGTGGGCAACAGGACCTAAATATGCTATTGCCTTTATTCAACCTAAGGAGCGCTGGTGGCACAGGGCCTAAGGCATTTGACTTCTAACCAGAAGGCTGGCGGTTCAAACTCACCAGCCACTCCGTGGAAGGAAGATGGGGCGATCTACTTCTGTAAAGATTTACTGCCTCATAAACCCAGTGGGGGTTCTTGTGAGTTGGAATCCACTCAAAGGCAGTGGGTTTGGTTTTTTGGGTTTTATCCAACCTTACTTTGCATCCCTGATATCCTCTCAGTCCCATCTCCTCCTCTAACTACTGTGGAAGTGACCTATTTGGTACTAGTGCAGTGTGTCAGTGTTTCACCTCTCAATTCCTGCTCTGTGGCTGAGGCAGAGGTATGGGTTGCATGGAGACTCATTCAGAACTCTGTTGCCTGCACAGCCAAACATGAGAAATTAGTTTTCATGAGGCCACTCTTGCCCTTTGGGAGATAGGAGCCAAGGGATAAATGATTCCTTTTGCATCCCCTCCCCAAGTGAACTGAATTCTGAAAACCAGTTCATAAGTCTCTTACCAAGATTGCTGTGGGATTGAGTACCAGTTTTCAGCAAGAATTACCAACGTGAAAACACATTCTTGTATTGGTTTTCCCTTCTCTGCTTCAGTCCCCCAGTTACTCATCCTTGCTTCCTGGTGTTACTATCCAAATGAACCATGTGTACACAAGCATTTGTGTCAGGCTCTACTTTCAGATATCCCTCCGTACAGCGTTATCCCCAAGTTCTCCCAGATTGCTTTCGGAAGCTATCTGCCCTGATTTAGAGTAGTTTGGCCATACCAAAAAAAAAAAAAAAACTCACTGCCGTGGAGTTGGATCCAACTCATAGCAACCTCTCCTTGGGTTTTCAAAGCAGTGTCACTATGGAAGTAGATTGCCCAAACTTCCTTTCAAGGAGTGGCTGGTGGGTTTGAACTGCCAGCCTTCTGGTTAGTTGTCATATGACTTAGGCACTGTGCCACCAGAGTTCGGCCATGCAGTGTAGTAAATCACATAATATGGCTTTTCTAGTCTTTGTAAGCTCTGTGTGGAATTTGCCATGAGCAACTGAGTAGCTCCTATTGTTAAAGTTATCCACCTGGGGTATTTCTGTTGAGAGTGGCATGAAGCAATCTTCTGGGAAGTTCTCTCTCTCTCAGGTGTATAGAATTCTGATGTTGGGATTGGTTAGTTTGGCCACTCTGCCAGGCTCAAAAGGAGCCCTCCTCCTCCTAGAAGGAGTCTCTGACTGCTGGCTGAGAAAGACCTGCTGCTGAGAGAAACATGCTCCTGAGAGACATGAAAGAGACACGCTGCTGTGAGAGAGACACAAGAGACAAGCACTGCTGAGAGAGTGATGTACTACTGAGACTGTCAGCTGCTGAATGAGACAGCCGGCTGCAAGAAACTGAGTGCATTTCTGAACTTGAGTTGTAGCCTGTTGCTTCCTTAATAAACCCCATAATCTGTGAGTTCTGTGAGGCCACTGCAGTGAATTATCAAACCCAGCAAAGAAGTGGTGGGTACTGTGGGAGGAACGGTTGGTGAAAGGGGTAGAGGGAGGCAGCATGTCTGGCCTCGCAGGACAGGCCTGGGGCTACTGATGGTGATTCTGTCTTCCTTTTGTGGGGTCAGAGGACGTCAGAAGATGAGGCATCCTTGCCCCTTTGGCAGACTAGCTCTCCAACTTGGGATCAAGGCTGGCTATTTCGTAACTTCAGAAGGCCACCTTTTGACAGGAGGTTACCCCTCTTAGAAGGTGTACGGCTATAGTTGCTCTGTGTGTAGGGTCTTTTACCTGTGGCTTGGTGATTTTCCTTTTCACAGTTAATGCAGTTGTTTTTAAAATGTAGTTGCAGTATGAATACCCTGGTAATTCTAAAATACTTCTCCCAAACATTGCTCTCTACCCTCTATTATGATTTGTGACCTCTGGTGCATGAAAAGTGCAAACAGTCCATGGAGGTGCCATGACAGAATATTTAAAAAATTGCTTTTCAATGTGTGTAAGTATGAAAACATGGTATGATGGTATTTTCCTTTGAAAGACATTGTAGTCAGCTTATGTCCTCAAATATGCACTTGTTGTTCATGCCACATTGTCACTAGTGTTTACTTATGAAAAGCTCTCATTTCCTTGACAGACACATGCACACATTGATGCTTTTTGTAGATGCATGCCGACTCACTGTATGGGGTGCACCTTGTGAAAAAGCACACATCAAGAGCACCTGGGAGCAAAGGGGTGAGATGTAGTCATGAGTGGGGAATGTGTGTCCTTCTCATTTGGGGTGAATTTCATTATCCCTTTCTGTTTTTGTTTTGTGACTAGGTGGTTAACACATACACCCCAGGAAAGAAGATTTGGCTTGAAGGTGTGGTGACCACCTCTGCTGGAGGCACAAACAATCTGTCTGATTCTTATGCTGCAGGATTCTTGTGAGTGACACTTGTTGTTTTACTCGGAGGGACTTTGAGCAAAGAATGACAGTGATCCTCAGACCCTGCTCATTATTCTGGCTATTGGGGGTGGGGTGAGGGACAAGGGAGAGGAGATCCATTTCCCTTAGAAAGGGCTTCATCTTTTCACATATGAGTGTGTTTAACCTTTCAACAAATGGTGATTAGTGCCTTCTCTAGATATGACAGTGCCAGGCACAGGTATCCCATCAAAGATGGTAGTAGTAGTAGTTGTAGTGTTGTTGTTGTTGTTGTGTGCTGTCGAGTCAAACCCAACTCATAGCGACCCCTCCTTGGGTTTCCAAGGCAGTATCACTACGGAAGTAGGATTGCCCAACCTTCCTTCCGAGGAGTGGCTGGTGGGTTTGAACCGCCAGCCGTCTGGTTAGCAGGCAAGTGTCTTAACCACTATGCTACCAGTAGTTGTAGTAGTAGTAATATAATAACAATAGTAATCAAACTAAAAACTCACTGCCATCAAGTCAGATCCGATTTATAGCGACCCCTCCTTGGGTTTCCAAGGCAATATCTAAGAACTTTATTTAATGTCTACAGTGAAAAACACAGTGTAGATAACATACATTTTCTCATATAATTCTAACCACAGTCACGGGAGATAGGTAAGAATAAGACATGGCTTTTGCTCTCCGGAAATTTACAATTGGAGGCACTGGGATGAGCTATATAACTCTAATATCAAGCTGTAGGAGGTAAATGCCATAATAATCATTTTTTTCTATATAGTGCTTAGCATGTGCCAAGCACCATCTGAATGTCCAAAGTGATTTTGCTTTGGACATTCAGATGGTGTGCACACACACACACACACACACACAGTGAAACCTGTGAGATGGAACTCAATTGAATAGCCTTGGTTTCCCAGGTCTTTCAAGTTTTCCATCTTTGAAAATCTACAAGGGTCTACAGATCTACGTATCTCTACAAGGGTGCAGTCTTACCACTTTTTTCTCTCTCTTTTTATTGTAAAATATTTGAGTTTTCTTTTTCACAGTTTTTTTCACAGGTTTCTGCCTTACACAGATTCTGCCTTTTGCAGGTTTTACTGTATATGACAACCCAGAGAAGAGAGATGAGGAAACTATAGGACAGAGTTAAAGTAACTGACCCAGGATCACTCATCTGGTTAATGGCAGAGCTTAAACTCAAACCCAGACAGTCTGTTTGAGTCTAGCCTCTTTACCACTACATTAGACCACTTCTCTTTCTGCCTCACATTAGTCATTCCACATAGTTCCCTGAAGAAAAGAAAGGGTATAGACATGCAGAGGACTCAAGAATTTCTCTGAGAGGATCAGGAGGGGCTCCCTGGCATTTGAGAGGGACGCACAAGGATTACTATAACTTCTGAAGGTAGAAGGTGGTAGGGGTGGCATGGGGAGGCATTCTAGACTGAAGGGACATGATCAGCAAAGGCTCAGATGTGGGAGGAAATGATTGGTGTGGCATAAACTTCAGTACCTGCAGGGATACAGTGAGGACAGGACTAGAGAGGTGGTTTACTACCAAATCACAAAGATCTGAAACCAGGTAGAGAAAATGAGATTTTTTTCTAGAGTCAGTGGTAAACCGCTGAAGATTTTAGAGTTGGGGAATAATAACACAATCTGACTTGTGTTTTAGAACTTTAGCTCTGGCAATAATTTGGAGAGGCAAAAGATGGAAAAATGAATTTGAAGGCTACTGCAGTGGTCTGGAAAATGACTTAAGCCAGAAGCACAAGAGCCTCTGACTTGCTTAACCTTGGCAGAGTCCCATGGTAGAGAACCATCCCTCAGGACCAGGAACCAACCAAATGACTTGTTGTTGGTCCATTAGGATCCTGGAACCCTGGCTTTTGGCCTGAGCAAGGTCCTACTATAACTATTGTAGCTATGCCCTAAGCCATGCTTCACTACTAACAGTTTTTCCTAATTATATGAGTGCAATGGGCCTCCACAGAGGCAGCAATTTTAACACATTTGTGAAGAACAAATCAGGCCAGTCAAGTAGATTGCCATTACTGATGGAATCCTGGGAAAGGTGGACAAAAACAATGAGTCAATGCCATATACTGTGATATCTTGTGTTTTCCATCTCTGTGTCCTCCACACCTAACAATGTATGGGTCAGAGTATGTTTACTAAGCATGCTGCAAATGTTTGAAATGAAGTGAATCAGCAGAGAATCTTCTTTGAAAGAGACACTCCCCACTGGTTTAGCTGTAAGCCTGTTGCAAGGGTGAGAGGCCAGGTTGGCAGTTAGTACTGGGGCAGGTGAGGGGGGTGTGGCTTGGAAACAGCAGAATCACTTTTGCTCAGTTATCACAGAAGGACTTTGCTGTAGGGTCCAGCAAGCAGCCCAGTTGTACTGAATGTTTTCATGAATGTTCCTCTCTTTAGAGAAGGATGTGAACAGAAAAATGGAGGGAGCAGAGCTTGAGATGAGAACTGCCCTTTCATAAGCATCAGTCAAATATCTGCAGATCTCTACAGCCACTTGGCAGAACACAGATAAACATAGCTGTTTAAAGTTTGGTTATAGCTTAAATACCCAATGTTTGACTGACACACATCAGATGAAAACTAGTGCATTCTTTTCCTGGTCTTCTCTCTCATACCTTCGTCACCCATTTGTTCTCAACCCCACTGTTCTCCAAGGGTATGAATTACTTCTTGGGGGGAGGGGGAGAAAAATAAATCACTTGAGGAGGCTCCAGTAAGCAGCAAGAAATTAGAAAGAAGATACTGTGGGACTGTTCCTTGGGCTTTTGGTTCTCTGCTATACCAAACAGTCAAGGACAATGTTTCCCAATAATGGTTTTGAGGTTATTTGTTGAATTATTGATACACCCTTGGCATACTACTGTGCCTCCAGCACTTAACAGTATCATCTGACACACAGTAATATTCAATAAATTTTTGTGGAATGAAAAATAGTGGTGGGGCAGCATCCTTGGTGGGATACAACAACCCATCTCACCACCTTTCTCTACCTGAGTGCAAAAGGGAGACTTGGAGTGCTATTTATTTCCCTTTCCCAGGGGGGCTTGCTGTTACAGGAGGAAGGTTAAGATAACCTCAGTCCCAACCATTCTACTGTAAAGAGCCATGGGGAATTAGCTGTCTGGTCATAGTCATTTTTGAATGTTCCAGAACCTAGATGTGCCTCACAGGGATGTGGTTTCAAGAGGAGGATGCATGTTCTTCCCTCTCACTTTAGTATTTCTTCAAAAGCTCCCCATACACTAGTCAAAAATCAGATTTACTAATTAGCATGTTTTTGTTGATTAGCTACTCTTTGCAGGCCAGTGTGTGGAGGTCACAAGTAGGAATTTGATATCATTTCTGTAAATGTATATAAACCACCCCCCAAAAAAAAAACTCACTGCCATAGTATTGATTCTGACTCAGCAACCCCAGTGGGTTTCCAAGACTGTGGATCTTTATGCAAGCTGTGTTGTTGTTAGGTGCCACCAAGTTGGCTCCAACTCAGCAACCCCCCGTAAAAGAGAATGAGACACTGCCAGGTCATGTGCTATCCTCACAACCCTTGATATACTTGGGCTCAGCATTACAGCCACTGTGTCAATTCATCTTATTAAGGGTCTTCCCCTTTTTTGCTGACCCTCTACTTTACCAAGCATGATATCCTTCTAAGAATGGTCCCTTCTAACAACATGACCAAAGTAAGTGAGATGAAGTCTGGCCATTCTCATTTTCAAGGAGCATTCTGGCTATACTTCTTCTAGGACAGAAATGTTTGTTCTTCTGGCAGTCCATGGTGTTTTCAGTATTCTTCACCAACACCATAATTCAAAGGCATCAACTCTTCTTTGGACTTCCTTATTTACTGTCCAGCTTTCACATGCATATGAGGCAATTGAAAACATCACGGCTTGGATTGGATGCACTTTAGTCTTCAAAGTGATTACTTTACTCTTTAAAGAGATCTTTTGCAGCAGATTTGCCCAGTTTAATATGATTTCTCAACTGCTGCTTCAATGGTATTGATTGTAGATCCAAGTGAAATGAATTCCCTGACAATTTCAACCTTTTCTCCATCTATTGTGATGTTGCTTATTGGTCCACTTCTGAGGATTTCTGTTTTCTTTATGTTGAGGTGTAATCCATACTGGAAACTGTAGTCTTTGATCTTCCTCAGTAAGTGCTTCAAGTCATCTTCACTTTCAGCAAGCAAAGTTGTGTCATATGCATATTGCAGGTTGTTAATGAGCCTTT